TATGCCTACGGTTCCTGCCAGCACCTTCAAACATTTCTGCGTACTGGGTCCCAGTAAGAGGCGCTAGGAATGCAAGTATGCCTCAACCGTGTAGTCGTCGACGCTTACCTTTGCCTTTCCTTCGACCCTTGCCTTTTCCTCTGAGTGTCCGCCGTGCCATGCGTCTTGCCCTTCTGACTGGTTCCTCTATGAATCTCCACCAACGACGCTTGTGCTTTTGATAGCCCAACAAGAACCTCTGAGCTTGCTGCTCTTCGGAAAAGGTATGTGGGCATATCAGAGTCGTCCAAAGCGGTAGCTTCATCCTCAGAAGACGCATCGGCATCGGTGCCGGAGTCGAAGTCGGACTCGGCAGGTTGCCCCGCAGAGCCCATTAGTGTCATTGCTTGCACAGGGAAGACCGCATCGGGTGGTCCCCTAGATCTGGCCCAGGGGTCTTGAGACCCCGAGGCCGCTCCGCCATTCTGCGCCAACAATGTGGTGGTCTCAGTCGGCGGCATATCATCGTTCCAGGCGTTGTTAGCATGTCGCCCTGCGTTGGCCTCTGCATGGAAGGTCTCGGCTCGGTGACACCGACTAAAAAATACCACCAATTTTGCCAGGGGTCCTCTCACAGCTATGTGAGCATATGACCTCATACGTTCGAGGACAGCATCAAATTGTGCTTGGTCCCTCGGTATATGGTGGTTCAGAGGCTGCAGGAGTTGCTGTGTCCGCGACACCCCCACTCCAAGATCTCTGAGTAATATTGCTGCTAATATCTGGAAGTTGGGGATGTTGAAGCGGGCGGTTTCAGCTTCATAGCGGACTATCTCGATCCGAGCTAACGTCTGGTCGATTAGTTCTCCCGCGTGGACACGAGAGTCAATGAAAACCGTGCCGGAGTTAAGTAAACGTTCCCCTTCCAGGTTCTCGAACTTCGTACTTAAGAGGAACATAATGTAGGTGACGCCGTCGGTGTGGCGACCAGCTATATTGACACCAACATGGATGACTGCGGGGGGGGGGCTCTCGTGGCTCTGGTCCGTGCGAGCCCTCCAAGACCGCGTTGTACTGCGGCGGCCTGTTGGGAGGGTGTCATGGTCACGTGGATCCAGGCGTCTACCTCGCGGACAAACTCGCGAAATGGTACCTGACCAGCAGGATCCCAATTGGGGCCAGTCGTTCTAGCGTCGTCACCGCCCCGCATATGTCCCACCGCACATCCCAGAGCGACCCATACGAGCCCAGAGATAGTGACCCCAATCCAATGGCCTCGTAGGTCGTATTCGGGTGTAATCGGTGGAGACTTGTGTTTTGTCGTCGTAAGTCTGCGCAGGGTCGGAGGCGGCAGTATATCGTATCGCGTGCTTCCATGCGTGATGTCTTCGAAGAAATTGCCAATTGGAGTAGGTGGGTGGACTTCAGGAGTGTAATAACGCAGAGATGTAGACTATGAGTAAGAGACTTCCGCTGACGCAGAGGTGTCGCTGCAAGCTTCCTTGCGGTACTGCGTATCTATGTACATTCCTCCGCGTAGTGCCAGTGCACCCTGATGTTCCACCATATCTGTAGTCCACCATTTAGTGCCGTGGATGGTGAGGAGTAGAGCTAGAGCTGACCACCATAGGCCAGCTCCGCTACCAAGTTTGAAAAAAAAGGGGGCTGGGAGGCCCTGCCAACAGCTTCGCCTCAGGCGAAGCCAGGCTCCAGTTCGGTTCTATCGTAGCAGCGAAGATCCCAATGCAAGAGGAAATGTCATCTCAAGTAAGCGGGAATACCTTTTAGTTTTGATAGCGATAGTGTGCCTCGCGGTGAGTCGCAATCGAATCTAGGCGGCCGGCCGCTTTGAGCCAAGGCGGCCGCGGGTGCACCCTCGCTTCCACTCCTTACGTCCCCCAGCTCGCTTTAGAGTCATGTATCTACCGCCGTGCCCTGAGGCGCGAGCTGGGAGTTCCTCAAGACCTTTCGGGCTATCCGAATTAAGTGTGGTAAATAGTCTGTAAAGGGCCTACAACCGGGAGTTGCGGGCACTCTCGGGCACTGTTGGGAGTGACTCGCGTAAATTTTCCAGAGACCAGCAGCGCTCTGTTCGGGGCATGCATGTCCACCATGGCCAAAGACGGCCCCTAGGACCGTCCTCGAGCCCTCTTGGGCGCCTCCTGGGCCGTCTTGGAGGCCATGAAAGGCGGCTCAAGATGCCAAAGTCCTCAACCTGTTTGACCTGCAAAGCGTCCAAGACGGCCCAACGGGCGCCCAATATCCTTCCAGAATGGCCCAAGAGCTCGCAAGAGGCCCCCGAGGAGCCCCCAGAGGCCTCCAAGAGGCCCCCGAGACGCACCCAGAGGCTTCCGAGAGGGGTCTCCCAATATATTCTCACAAGCAATCAGGGGGCCTCTAACCGACAACCCGAGCATGGTGGGATGGGCCGAAGGCCACCAGATCCGCCGCCCCCTGTGGCTTGCCATGGGGGTGCACGGCGTGCCAAATTTTGGTTCAGCATTCCAAACGGCCTTCGACCCAACGCCCCGCCGGCCATCTGGAAAGCCGCATAAAAGACCTCAACGTGCACAACAAACAGTCCCCGGCCAAGATGGCCCAAGATGGCAGCCGAGATGCCTCCAAGACGGCGAAAATAACTCCAAGACGGGCCGAGATCCCCCAAGATGACCACGCCCAGTACGACCCAACAGGCCTCCAAGACGGCCCAAGCGGCCTCCAGGAGGACCTTCAGGAAGGCCCGAAAATGCCCAATTCAGTTTTTTTCCCCAAAGATGTTTGAAGGATTTTGGCGTTTGCCACTTTTCGGCTTTCTGGCGTCCCAAGGCGACCCCAGAGGCCACCACGATGGCCCAAAGAACGCCCAAGAGGCCTCCGAGATGGCCCCTGACGGCCCAAGGGGCCCCCAAGACGGCCCAGGAGACCTCCAAGACGCCCAAGATGGTCTCCAAGACTGCCCTGAAGCGCCCCAAGAGGGCCCAGAGTCGGCCCAAGGAGGCCCGAAAGACGGCTTCCGACGGCGTCAGACGGGCCAGGCACGCCCTCAGACGGTCAAAGAGCCCCCGAAGGAGCCTCCAAAAGCCCCCAAGAGGCCCCAGAAGCCCTCACGAGGCCTCCAAGAGGCCCCCAGGAAGCTCCCAGGAGGCCTCAAGAGTACCTACTCCGAGAAGCTCCCAAGAGATCTCCTCATCCTCCTTTCTCCCCCCTTCTCCTCGTCACTCTTCTGTCCACAAATGTTCATCAAAACGTTTCCACAACGGCTGGGGGAGCACGTAGTCTGATAGCTTGGCCGAGCTCTGGCCGCAACGTTCGTCCACGTAGGCGCTACTGAAAGGCAGGGGGCTGCGGTGGTTCGCTGTAGGCGTCTTCGATGGATCATGAGATCGGTAGATCGTGGAATCGAAAGATAGATAAACCGATTGAGGTTACTCGATGGGCGGCAACGGTTGTCCTGATGGTTGCCCAGCCGATTGCTCTCCCAAATCCTGGTGGTTGGCCTTCGGCCAGTCTTACATGTGTGCCTCAGGGGTCCCGATCAAACCCACTAATCAAAGGACACCCTTCGCGTGAAAAAGACATGTGACGCGAATGGGTGCAGCCTTCGGTTTGCGATGTGCGCCGGATCTGGTCCGAGATCTCTGTCTCTCTCTCTCTCTCTAAATATGTATGTACGTAGATGTGCATCTCGACGTGTCTGTATCGATCTCAATCGCAATAAACAGATCTCCCATGTTCGTCTGTATCTATCCCTCTCACTGAAGAACGGTCTCGCGACACGTCTACCGATCTCACTATATGTTGATAGTATGACCGATCTACCGACCGCACTATATTTGCCCGCCGACTCCACTATCTATCGACCTCACTACCCATATGTCCAAGTGGATGGCCATTGGATGTGCATGCTATTGTCCTTACCGATTGTCATTGGAAGTGCATTCCGAGTGGCGGTTGGATGTGCAACTCGATTAACAGTTCCATTGTATTCCGATTGCGTTGGACGTGAACAACCACGGAATTACCCGCGACACAACTCACAAAACATTCGCAAATCGACTTGCGTTACCCCCAGAACATCCGCGAAACCCGCGGGACACCTCACGCGACAACTACGGGCCAATCCACGGCACAACACGCCGAACAACACGCAGGACAACCACGGCACAACCCGCAGGACACCCTCCAACCTGTCTCCGCCTCCGTAGGGTGAGACGCCACGCATGCTGTCTGAATGGAGTCAGCCTTAGGTCGGGCTGGTCCTCCTTCAGGCGGACGGACAAGCCCAATCAAACAATGATCTAACATGGCAGGAAAAATCTATTCTTGAACGTTCCTCCTGTAGAGGGACGTGACCGACTGAAAGCCGGCCCTGCCCACAGCCGCCACGCGCCGCGCCGTCGCCCTCGCGCAGCCTCGCCCCCCCCACGCGCAGGCCGCACGACGCGGCCCGAAACCGGCACCGACTTCCTGGATGAGGCCTCCTCCTCCTGCTCCTCCTGTTCCTCCTGCTCCTCCTCCTCCTCCTCCTCCTGCTCCTGCCCCTCCTGCTCCTCCTCCTCCTCCTCCTGCTCCTCCTCCTCCTCCTCCTGCTCCTTCTGCTCCTCCTCCTCCTCCTCCTCCTCCTCCTCCTCCTCCTGCTCCTGCTCCTCCTGCTCCTCCTGCTCCTCCTCCTCAGCCTCCTGAGACCTTCTCACCCCACAGCCTCCGATCCGCCGCCTCCCCAAGTCCAGCAAACTGCACGACACGGACCGAGGCCGACACCGACCTCCCGGTGGAGGCCTCTCCCTGAGCATGTTCTTCGGGTGGAGAGCTCAGGGTGACATCCATATAGGCATTCGCACATCGAATGTAAACCCGTCTTGTGGTTCACCTTGCGCAGATTCAAAACTCGAAAATCAATCGAAACGGCATTTCAGATGTAACCCTCTGCCCTCCACCCGAAGAAAATGCTCGGACTCCCTTCTCATCCCAAAGCCTCCGACCTGCCGCCTCCCCAGGTCCAGGAAGATGGTAGGATCTGC